TGACTTCAAATATTCTCCTCCAAAACAAACATTTAAAAAGTTGAGAGCATGACCATCACAATAAAGGAATCCGAGGACCAGTTTAACAAAAAAATCAACTATAAATTGTTGGAGTAAATTGCTCCAATCGTATGTCGAGTGGTTCGACACCCGGGCGTCTTAATCGAACTCCTTCCTCCTCGTGATAGTTTTTCGCCAGCGATAATCAGTTTTTGGAGTTAATTGCTCCAATCGTATAACGGGTACTACAAGATTCTGAAAAGGGAAGCCATGGACGAAGAAGAAATCGAGAAAGCGGTGTTAGCTTACCTGAAGAAGAAGGGTTTTAAGCAAACGGAATTGGCCTTACAAGAAGAGCAGCAACTGCGCAACAAAAACAGCTCTCCTTCCACCAATCCTGAGATTGCCAAACATATCCTCGCATTATCCGAGTAAGAACTTAAAAACATGTCTTTTGTCCCTTTTTTTGGCTGGGCAAAATACTATAAGACATGGATTTTCTTTTAAAAATTTCAAGTATTTCATACTAGTTTTTTGGGTGTTTAAAGGGATGGGATTTTATTAAAATTTGATGAAAATGGGAAGATCAATTTGTAGAGATGATTTTTCTTGGTTAAGTGGTTTGGTGCATGTCTTTTTAGTTTTTATTTTTAAACAATTATCCGGATTGAATTCCTTGTCAGCTTAGTTTGAATTAGCTCTAAGCTCCTGTAAGAAGCATAATGAACAAGGAATAGTATGGGGTCCTTAGCCTTGGAACTCTATTGGAAAACTGCTTCTATTAAAAGCCTGCTGTTTTTACTTCTACAGGAGTTCATGATTCTGTGTTGACTAGCGACATTGGAAGAAGAAATAGCTATAGAACAGCTTATCTCTATATGCTACATGATGTAATATGAACATACTGTTTCATTGCCACTGCTCAGTTACTGTCCTTATGCGGATTCGGTGTGTGGAATTTCATATATTTCATTGATGAATTTGATAGGAATAGATGAGAGAACTGATGAATTTTATAACTGAAAGTAATACAGAAAATATGAAATGCACTACACGGATGACCACTCTTTTCTCACTACATGTATTCTACCCATTCCCCCCCCCCAGCTCATTTATTAATAGCCCTTCCCGTAACTACTTTAACAAAAATAGCTAACAACCCTTAACAGAATCTGTAAATAACTAAGGCCCTGCTGTCATATGGTTGATCCCCTCTAGTGCTTTCTTGCGTCTGCTATAGGTGAATTTAACTTGGGGCTTATCAGAATTCTAAAGGTTACAACAACAAATATATTGGAAAGAAAACCAGACAATTTCCTGGATTTTCCTCTAATTATGCCCTAACACCACCCCTTGAATTATGAACTAACATTACTTCTCTTATTATGCTAAAAAGGTAAACTATATAATAAATAAATGTGATAAATTACAGCTATTTTTCATCCTGCTCAAGCTGGTTCAAATATATGTATCATTCCCAGCTTGCTAACATATGAATAGAAAGTAGGTCTTTGAAGTCCTTTGGTAAGCGCATCGGCTAATAGATTGCTGCCGGAAACAAATGCAGTAAAAGTAAATGTGCTTTCAATCTTCTCTTTAATAAAATGCCTTATCAGCTTCACCATGTTTGGTCCTATCATGCAGAACATGATTGTGAGCAATGTTGATAGCCATCTTGTTTTCATGGTAGAGCTTCATTGTATCTTCTCGAGTAACTTGTAGTTCTTTTAACAATATTTTTAACCATAATAACTTGCTCTGAACTCGACTTCAAAACTTGATCTTGCAGCCACATTTTTTTTCTACTTCTCTATAGGACCAAATTCCTTCCAAAATAATGGACAATACCCGTGTCACTAAACTTACTTCACATTGATTCCTGGCTAATAGTTGTAATACCTATACCGTTGCATGCATGAGAAAGAACACTAGACAATAATATCATTTTTAATTGAACGGTGCATGCTGGTGAAATGCTAATGTGCCTATCTTGTATTTATGGTTGACACATTAATAATTTTAATTTGTTACATGATTTTCAGTGCAGAAAATGTTCCTGCTCAGTACCAAGAAGGATATAGCAAACTTAGGTCATGGGCCCATAAATCATTGGATCTCTACAAGGTAATGAGAATGTGGTTGACTAACTTCTTGTTTCTTTGAGCTCATAATGGCATCTTAAGTAATGCCCTACTTATTCTGTCTTTGTAAAACTATACTTTATTAATTGATATCAGCAAATGGTTAACGAATTTGTAATCCCTAAAGAAACTCTTGAATGCTGCAGTGTGCTATGCACGAGTATTTGAACTCTTGAGATACCTTTTTTCAAAATATTTAATAATTTATTGGATTTAGCTGGAATGCTACGCTCTTTTCCTATCAACACTACTGGAACAATTTTGGCAAAATTTAGAGAACGGGACGTATCGACAACTGAGTAAATTTTGGGTGGCATATATTTCAGTACTGGGATCTCATGTAATGAGGTTCTTGTACTGGGTGAGACAGATTTTTGACCCAGTACAATGTATCAACAAAACAAAGTCATTGAAGGATAGAAATTTTTGGATGATTATTTAAGAATAACATTCATAAATAAAGAAACAACTACAGACTAAATTATGAGTTTTTTAAAAGATTTGAGGGAGGAAATGAAAAAGAGTAAGTTACAAGTGGAAGATAGTTGTCTTGAGAGAAGACCAAAAGTTAAGAGGTTAGGGATCTTAGCAAACATCTAAGGAAGGCACTGAAAGGTATCACCTTTAGGGGAAAGAAATAGTCTCACATAGTTGAAATTGCTGTATCTAGATTCTCTCAGTTTTGCTATTTGTTTTTTTAATGCTTAAAATAATTTTATTTAGCCCTTGTTTGATGCCCATTATTTTGATAAAAGATGTTTTGAATAGTGATTTTTTGAAGAATGTGTGGTTAAAAAGTAGGGAAAAATTTTGGGTTTAGTTGCAAAATATTTTATTGTGTGAATGTGTGGTTGAAAATGAGTATGAGAATTAAAAATTTTTGTTTTAAAGGGAGACAAATAGAGTCTTAGTATGGAGATCACAACAGTCCTTGTTTGTCTACTTTCTACATGAACTGCTTTGTGTCCCCCCTTGAGTTCATTCTTTAAAACCTTACATAGCAGAAATTATAATTTTTACATGTATTATTCATCTGTTGACATTCACAACCTGCCCTCTATTGTAAACTCTCTTGTGCTAATTTGATGAAAATGCTTTTTGTTGTTATTGAATGTAAGGTACTAGGTGTGATTTCAAAAGACAAAACCTAATGTTTGATATACACTTCAAATGTTGCAAGTTTTTCTTGTAGTTTTATGGGGATGCTTATGTCTACTCAACGATTTAAAATGTGTTTTGATTTATCCAATTTCTTGCACATTTCTACCATGCAGCACGAGTTGCTTCATGTGTTGTACCCAGTATTTATCCATTGTTTCATGGATCTCGTTGCAAAAGGTCATATTCAGGAAGGTAAGTTTCTTCAACTTGTTACTCGTATAATTTTTTTGTGAATTTACACCTCTTAACAGCATCCTGCCTATGTTCCCGTATTCAGCTCGAGCTTTTTTCAATAGCTTCAGGGAAGAGCATGAGATGATGCATTTACGTGACCTCCAAAAATTAGAAGGCGTTCTTTCACCCTCACATCTGGAGGTCTATCACTTTCCTAGAACCATTTTAATTTGATGTATTCAGACAAGATTTGTCCTTAAAATATGTTTCCCTTGCAGGAAATGGAATTTGCTCATTCTCTAAGACAGAGCAAAGTGAGCATTAAGATTTGTCAGGTAATGCATGTTTGATTAAATATTTTAATCTACAAAAGATTAAACGCTTTTTGGGGTCTAAACAATCCCAACTGAACCGAGAGAAAACAACAGGGTGTTCAAGCATGCTTTCTTAGAATCTAATCTCAATCAATTGGAGTTTAGCTTGACTTGCTTGGTGTTTTTCTATAAATTCTCTTATTTGTTAGATGATCGAGCCAAACTACAAACTGGATGAGCTCACTAAAAGTTTTAACTTGGCTTGCTTGGCTATGGAGTTGTTCTTAAAGGAGCTTCTGATACTTTACTTTGTTTCTCAGCTCTAAATGCTCTTAAAATTAAATAAGGTAGAGTTGACATCTGAGGAAATGTAAAATTGATCATGGAAAATGAGGAATCTTCAAAGAACACAGTACAATTTTTATTCTGGTGCTACAATAACTCTGATGCTNTTTTCTTTTTTTTTTTTTTTTTTTTTCAAAATAATTCTAATTCAGTCATGGACAATTATTGTTAGTCATTCAGGAAATGGGAGGATCATTATATTGGCAATTTGACTTATATATTTGGTTGTTCATCTTTACTCGGAGCTTTAGGAAGGAGAACTTATATGTTCAGTTGGTCGATAATGATATTTTTGTGGCATGTTAGACAGTTTAAGTTCAAGTTAACATGAATTTTAGTGGGTGAATTGTGAATATTGTAAACTGGGTTCAATAGTTCAGACTTGATTTTTTCTTTTTATCCTCTTGTTTTCTTGTCCTCCCTCTGGCAAAATGACGTATGCTAAAATATTATGGACATAGTGAATAGATGACTCGCTCATTTAGAGTTATAAAACCATTTAAATTGTTACAGTTGCTTGAAGATTCCTTGGGAGAAAGGTTGGAGACGACAGGAGGCCGGACTATGGATTCAGATAAAGCTGATGGAGAAGTGAAAGATGGGGAATTGGAAGAAAATAAGGTACTGGATGTTTTCAATTTCTGCATCTTTAGCTGCAGATTGTAATCCAAGCTTAAAGAGTCCTCATATATCTGTCATTCTAGATTCATTGCACCTTTCAAGCTCACTTGCATCTCTTTTTTGACTATTCTTCTTCCATGTTCAGAAAAGATCAGTTGATGGTGGAAAAGGAAGCTCCACGCAGAAAAAGTTGAAAAAGGACAAGGTTGTTGCTGCAACAGGAAAAGCTTCTCGATCAGAAAGCAGCATTGCAACTGGAGCACCACGTGTAAAACCAGAGTTGACCTTGCCAATAATGTATTTTCTGGACTATCCTTGTTTCACTTTTCCTATTTCAAATACCCGCCCCTTCCTCCTTTCCCTCTTGTCTGCTCCTTTTCTTTAAATCTTTTTTACTAAAAGGTGCTCTCTCTCTTTTTGGTTGGAGAGGGGAGGGAAAGTAAAAAATGTTCAAGTTGGGCCTGTTTACCAGAAACTAAGGTTCTAGGTAGATCATAATTGAGTTTTATGTAGTCATATGGTACGTGGTCATTGTAGGAGGTAAAATCTACGTGGTCATTGTAGGAGGTAAAATCTATGTAATTCCAATATCTGCATTTTCATATATAGATTGCATCCATCATATACTAATGTGATGCATGCTACTATGTTTCTTGCCGTTCCCACCTCCCTCAACCCAAATAAATAAAAGGAAGAAAGAAAGAGAAGTCTGATCATGCATTGAGCTCTTCCAATCATTTAATCAAGCATCAAAGGTAGCTCCAGGGAAATGAGGATGCACATTTCTACATCAAACTCATTATTTCTCATTTCAAGAAGGTTTCAAATATATTTCTACCACCTTGAATGAGGCAGGATTTGTTATGACACTTCAACTTTGTTCGTATTGGTGAATTTTGCTGGAAGTCTTTCGAATTTGTTGATGGCTGGATATTGGCTTCAAATGATGTCCATTAATCTTCAAAATATAGCTGCTGGCTAATTTTATACTGTGAATTTCTTTTTCTCTTTCAGACCTGCAGAGGTGGAACATTCTATTCTTGAGGATTTGAGGAATCGTGTGCAGTTGAGTAGTATGACATTGCCTTCTATTAGCTTCTACACCTTTATCAATACACATAATGGGTATGCCTTCACTTTGAAATCTATTTTTCTTCCTTTGGTATATGTGGTTTGCAAAAATGTGATCTTTGTAAAATTTTACGAATCTATTAATTAGGTTAAACTGTGCATCGATATCTCATGGTGGGTCACTGGTTGCTGGTGGATTTTCAGACTCATCATTAAAGGTTTCCTAGTTTCTGTTTATTTTATGAAGTATCTTAAATAACTTTAGTTTGCCTTGCTCATTCAAAAGCCACAAATTACAGGTATGGGACACGGCAAAGCTTGGGCAGCAAACTGGCAATTGTAAGTAGATTTCAATGATTTCCTCAATCATAGTCAGTCATAGAATATGCCATGGCACTTTATTCTGTCTCTTAATTCTTGATTGGATGAAGAATTTATCGTTCATGGCATTAATGACAAAAAGACCTTTTATTTGTCTTGTTTAAAATTCTATATGGTCACATCCTTCAATTCTTTTTGTTTTTGGCCAAATTGGTATATTTATCCTCGTTCTGTAGTGAATTTGTACATATACTTGTGAAGCAACAACGAGGTGCTGATATTTATTAGTATCAGCTTCTCTGCAGGGAGAAAATGAGTTGGCTCCTAATGACAATATACTTAATGCAAATGCAAAGGGAAGATCTTATACATTATTTCGGGGTCACTCTGGACCTGTTTATTCCACCACTTTTAGTCCATTTGGAGATTTTCTTCTCTCTTCTTCATCAGATTCAACTAGTATGTTCTCAATTGCCGTTATCTTGCCATTTATTTCTATGTCCAGTTTTTATTTATCTAAATAAGCTTCTATACTCTTTAGCTTGTTTTCCTATCCTGTAAAATATGATTGAAATTTAACTTGGCATGCAGTTCGATTATGGAGCACAAAACTGAATTCAAATCTTGTTTGCTACAAGGGTCATAACTACCCTGTGTGGGACGTTCAGGTAATGAATTGGATATTCAGTTTTTAGTAAGCTTTATACCCCCATCCTTAAACTCTAACCAACTTTTAATCAAGGAAAAACTAAAAAATCAACGGTTTTGCCTACTTTCCTCTCCTTGCGCTTTAAGTACTAAACTTTTTGTGGAATGGATAAACCAATATTTTTTCTGCGTTTAGTAGTCCAATTCTTTCCAATAAGCTACAACTATGTCTTCATTTTCTTCTCTTGCATGATTGAAAAGTTTTGGTTCAGTACTTCTCCATCTAGCTGCCTAACTCTTGTTTTGATATGATGATTCATGCTGAATAAAGATTTTACTTCAGTATCACTGAACTAGATATTTGACAGCAATTTTGTTTCCAAATACCCATGTCTATATTAGTATATGAACACGATTTGAGAATGATCATGAATCATTTTTTTCCATATTTTGGGACATAAGTTTATTGAGATACATTGTGTATAAAAGAATAAAAAATTGGTTGTACAGTAACAATACCTAAAATCTTTGACCATATTCATTTTATCCCTGATTTTGGCTGCAGTAAATCATGCAAGTTTATTCTATCACTAAATCTAGTAAGATTTGCTGCTCTTGAATTTTGTTTTCCACATTATATCAATTAATTTTGCCGCTAAGTATTGTTCTTATTGACGCTAGTACTTTAATGACTATAAAGAGGGAAAGAATATCAAATGTATGTGATATCAAAAACATTTTTTAGCTAACACTGCTTCCAGTATCTGCAGCCATTTAGGGCATGCTTAAAAGTCTGATACACCGTACGTGGTCATTGTAGGAGGTAAAATCTATGTAATTCCAATATCTGCATTTTCATATATAGATTGCATCCATCATATACTAATGTGATGCATGCTACTATGTTTCTTGCCGTTCCCACCTCCCTCAACCCAAATAAATAAAAGGAAGAAAGAAAGAGAAGTCTGATCATGCATTGAGCTCTTCCAATCATTTAATCAAGCATCAAAGGTAGCTCCAGGGAAATGAGGATGCACATTTCTACATCAAACTCATTATTTCTCATTTCAAGAAGGTTTCAAATATATTTCTACCACCTTGAATGAGGCAGGATTTGTTATGACACTTCAACTTTGTTCGTATTGGTGAATTTTGCTGGAAGTCTTTCGAATTTGTTGATGGCTGGATATTGGCTTCAAATGATGTCCATTAATCTTCAAAATATAGCTGCTGGCTAATTTTATACTGTGAATTTCTTTTTCTCTTTCAGACCTGCAGAGGTGGAACATTCTATTCTTGAGGATTTGAGGAATCGTGTGCAGTTGAGTAGTATGACATTGCCTTCTATTAGCTTCTACACCTTTATCAATACACATAATGGGTATGCCTTCACTTTGAAATCTATTTTTCTTCCTTTGGTATATGTGGTTTGCAAAAATGTGATCTTTGTAAAATTTTACGAATCTATTAATTAGGTTAAACTGTGCATCGATATCTCATGGTGGGTCACTGGTTGCTGGTGGATTTTCAGACTCATCATTAAAGGTTTCCTAGTTTCTGTTTATTTTATGAAGTATCTTAAATAACTTTAGTTTGCCTTGCTCATTCAAAAGCCACAAATTACAGGTATGGGACACGGCAAAGCTTGGGCAGGAAACTGGCAATTGTAAGTAGATTTCAATGATTTCCTCAATCATAGTCAGTCATAGAATATGCCATGGCACTTTATTCTGTCTCTTAATTCTTGATTGGATGAAGAATTTATCGTTCATGGCATTAATGACAAAAAGACCTTTTATTTGTCTTGTTTAAAATTCTATATGGTCACATCCTTCAATTCTTTTTGTTTTTGGCCAAATTGGTATATTTATCCTCGTTCTGTAGTGAATTTGTACATATACTTGTGAAGCAACAACGAGGTGCTGATATTTATTAGTATCAGCTTCTCTGCAGGGAGAAAATGAGTTGGCTCCTAATGACAATATACTTAATGCAAATGCAAAGGGAAGATCTTATACATTATTTCGGGGTCACTCTGGACCTGTTTATTCCACCACTTTTAGTCCATTTGGAGATTTTCTTCTCTCTTCTTCATCAGATTCAACTAGTATGTTCTCAATTGCCGTTATCTTGCCATTTATTTCTATGTCCAGTTTTTATTTATCTAAATAAGCTTCTATACTCTTTAGCTTGTTTTCCTATCCTGTAAAATATGATTGAAATTTAACTTGGCATGCAGTTCGATTATGGAGCACAAAACTGAATTCAAATCTTGTTTGCTACAAGGGTCATAACTACCCTGTGTGGGACGTTCAGGTAATGAATTGGATATTCAGTTTTTAGTAAGCTTTATACCCCCATCCTTAAACTCTAACCAACTTTTAATCAAGGAAAAACTAAAAAATCAACGGTTTTGCCTACTTTCCTCTCCTTGCGCTTTAAGTACTAAACTTTTTGTGGAATGGATAAACCAATATTTTTTCTGCGTTTAGTAGTCCAATTCTTTCCAATAAGCTACAACTATGTCTTCATTTTCTTCTCTTGCATGATTGAAAAGTTTTGGTTCAGTACTTCTCCATCTAGCTGCCTAACTCTTGTTTTGATATGATGATTCATGCTGAATAAAGATTTTACTTCAGTATCACTGAACTAGATATTTGACAGCAATTTTGTTTCCAAATACCCATGTCTATATTAGTATATGAACACGATTTGAGAATGATCATGAATCATTTTTTTCCATATTTTGGGACATAAGTTTATTGAGATACATTGTGTATAAAAGAATAAAAAATTGGTTGTACAGTAACAATACCTAAAATCTTTGACCATATTCATTTTATCCCTGATTTTGGCTGCAGTAAATCATGCAAGTTTATTCTATCACTAAATCTAGTAAGATTTGCTGCTCTTGAATTTTGTTTTCCACATTATATCAATTAATTATGCCGCTAAGTATTGTTCTTATTGACGCTAGTACTTTAATGACTATAAAGAGGGAAAGAATATCAAATGTATGTGATATCAAAAACATTTTTTAGCTAACACTGCTTCCAGTATCTGCAGCCATTTAGGGCATGCTTAAAAGTCTGATACACTTAGGTGACTTTGCTCTGTAGTTTTGCCCTTATAATTTACTTCTTGCTTATTTTCATTTCCGAAATATCTCTGATGCATGACCCATGCCAGAACATACTCATGATTCTGATGTTATTCTAGTGCAGTTTAGTCCACTAGGACACTATTTTGCAAGTGCTTCACACGATCGAACGGCAAGGATCTGGTCTATGGACAGAATACAGCCTTTAAGAATTATGGCAGGTCACTTGTCTGATGTAGATGTGAGCACCTCTCTGTCTCTGTGCTTGCATGTAGATATTATTTTGCAGGTGTGTGCTAATCTATTTCTATGTTTAAGATGATCAAGAAATCCACTAAGTATCACATCAGTTAGACAGGAGGAGGAGAAGAAAAGTGAAAGCTTATTCTCTTCATCCTTTTTCTTGATAGATCTTGTTAGAGACTCCTTTTCGGTTCATTCTATTGACCTGCCTCTTTCCTTGAACTCGTGACTCAATTTTGGGCCTTGCACTCTGCTCATTGTTTTCTCTAGTGAGGGCTGCAACGCTAGAAAAGTGAAAGCTTATTCTCTTCATCCTTTTTCTTGATAGATCTTGTTAGAGACTCCTTTTCGGTTCATTCTATTGACCTGCCTCTTTCCTTGAACTCGTGACTCAATTTTGGGCCTTGCACTCTGCTCATTGTTTTCTCTAGTGAGGGCTGCAACGCTTGCCAATCCCCGAGGGGCTGCAGTTGTCATGGTCCATGATCATGTTGGATGTTTGTTTGATAGCACATTGTGTGGTCATTTATCTTTTTAGCATTCTTCGGAGGCCTGGAAAAAATGCCTTAAAATACTCATTGGCATGGAGTTGGTTCATTTTTTTTGTTTTATTAACAAATTTCTGATGGAATCATGAAGACATACAGGCAGAGATATTAAGGTGATGTGAAATAGGATTGACTGGTTACATTGTAAAAGTTAATGGAGGCATTAGGAGAATCTGGGGGTAGCAAACCACGAAATGAGAAGCCAAGAAGGTTATTCAAAAGTTTTATGTAGAAGAACATGAGAAGTTATATAGTTATCTTGGAAACGAGGATGGGGAGAAAGTTGTTCACAAGATACTCTCGGCAACTGGTAAAGGAAAATTGAGATTTGAATCAAGTCTAACTTATTAAAGATGAGAACCAAAGAGCTTTGTTTTGTAATGATGAGATTACAGAAAGATCAGAGAATTATTTTAACATCAATTAATGAGAGGCATGGTGTGGACATCTCGAACTCAGCTGTGGATAGGAATATTAGTTATGTATCATGGCCACAATATGTGCTGAACTTAACTCTTTTTACTATGTTCCGAGAGGAGAAAATTAACTTTGTTCTTTTCATTTGTGTAGGATGTCATGAGCGATTTTTTACTTCTTAATTGTATTGACATAATTTTGTTCATACTAAAGATTTCGATCTTAATATTTCCTTTTCATTTCTTAGTGTGTGCAATGGCATGCAAACTGCAATTATGTTGCAACTGGATCCAGTGACAAAACCGTGCGCTTGTGGGATGTTCAAAGTGGGGAATGCGTTAGAATTTTCATTGGTCATAGAAGTATGATCCTATCCTTGGCAATGTCACCTGATGGTCGTTACATGGCATCTGGTGACGAAGATGGTAAGATCATGATGTGGGATCTTGCAAGTGGACGTTGTGTTTCCCCTTTGGTCGGTCACTCCTCCTGCGTATGGTCTCTTTCTTTCAGGTGCAAAAGATTTTCTATATCCCAAACATCTCATTTAATTTGGGTCCGGTTACATATCAATTGAAAGGGCGATTTTCTCAAGTATAGATAGAATTGTTAGTTTGTTGCATGTTTTTCAGTTGTGAAGGTTCACTTCTTGCATCGGGTTCTGCTGATAGCACTGTGAAAATATGGGATGTAACCAGGAGCTCAAAGGTGTCAAAATCTGAAGAACAGTAAGTTTATTTTAATTATAAGTAGAACAGGGTAGGCTCTGTAATGAACAGTGGAGTAGCAATAAATGCAAGAATATCTACTTCCGTAAACTCTTTTTTATACTTTGCAATAACTCAAGGGTTAATCCCATATTTCGCCTGTAAATTCAACGATTGATGCTTAAGAAAAAGCTAACTCGGTAGCTAACTTTTGTTGCTTTGTTACTAATTACGTGCTGTAATATTTTTCACCAGCAAAAATGGAAACACGAACAGACTCAGATCCTTGAAGACCTTACCTACCAAATCTACTCCAGTCTACGCTTTGCAGGTATGCAGACGAATGATCACTTTTATAGTCTATTTATACATCAGGATCATCCGAAAACTATTCTTACGGTTCTTTGTAACAGTTCTCTCGAAGGAATCTACTCTTTGCGGCTGGGGCTCTCACCAAAATTGCATGAAATTTTTTATTGATGATGACCTCTCGAAGATTGGGTTACATTAGCCAGAGCATAATTTAGAATGCAATGCTAGTGTTGCATCCTGTTGAATTTTATTGTTCCAGTTGCAATATTTTCATTTTTCTTCTTGATTTTTGTTGAGAAGTTTTGATATGAATATTCATGTTTTATCTCAAACAGTGGCCTTTGGTCTCACTCACATTTTAATTTTGTGACTTTTGATTAGTTTGTTAACTCTGGAACAAAAGATTATTATATTTTCGATATAAAAACGTCGGCTTTGGCACCCAAAAAACGAAAATAGTTCTGTGAAAAATATAAATTGGGCCACAAATTTTGGGAATCACACGGCGGATTTTATCAGATTAGGAGATTATATACATTGATTGAATCAAAATATAAGTATAAATAGGTAATAAATTATAGGGATAATTGTAGCAAAAGTTTCGAACCTTTGAAACACTGAGGATTCGTTTGATTGCAAAGATGAAATTTGGGTGGAAAGAAAATGAATTCTA